AAATTTTGTACTTTTTCGCATACCAAATTGTAAAACAGTGTATATTCCTAACAGCAATTTTTCACCGGGTTTGATTGCGTAAAACCCATGATTACAACCCTGGTGCGTGTGTGTTACTCTTTATTTTCCGTCGTCTCCACTCCAGTTGTTTTTAAGCCCGGTGTATCCACCTACTCCCGCTCAGACATTTATTTGAGTCCTTTGTTTACATCGGAGGATGGAATGGGAAACGTTCTCACAGTTCGCTCAGTAACTACAGATTATTTGTGTAAATTCGCTGAAGACTAAACAGCTGAGAAGATATCGTAAACTGTGTTTAAAACGAACCAGTATTTGGGCATCACCCATGACCAGATTGTTAATAAAACTGGAGAAAATGTCCGAAAGCCAAGTAACTTTTGAGCACATGGAAATTTCATGTTTCCGTTTTCGATTCAACAGTCTTATTAATTTTTATTTTAAAAAACGATGATTCTTTCTTAAAAAACGATAATTTTTAAGCTAAAAATGTTTATCAAAAAATGCCGCAACCCGGATTTTGCACGACTTTTCAAGTCCTTGGAAATGAAGCTGAAAGAGCAAGCTAATTTTGCTCGAGAAATTCTTGATACAACAAGCGTGGATCTCACTGATGAAATGTTGCTGGTACGTTTTTGCAGTTTTTTTCTTATTTCAATCAGACAACTGCTATTTTCTGCAGCATCGGGACTGTCTACTTTCCTTTTCATTGTGTTCCTGGTTTGCTGCACGGAACTCCATATATTCGAGCGGTTTGTCCGAAGCAGCTGACAAAGCTTTAGCCGTTGTGTAGTGTTGCTGAGGAGTCTTCAGGATTGGATCATCTCAGTGCTGAGGTACCTGACTGACTATGAAGAAATTTGCCGATAAAAGGTTTGGTTTTAAAATCGATTCAAAAACGAGGAAAGCAATTGCAGAAAGAGCTGGCGAGTCGCCTGCGTAGTGCCGGTGCCCCGCTCACAAAGTTTTATGATTCCTGGCAGAATGTTTGGAAAATGAAGGAAGCCGTCACGGCCCCAGTAAGTGCACTTATCTTCCAGCTATAATATTCAGTTTTCCCCGCGATATTTGATTTTTACCTTTTCGTTGTTTTGAGGATTGGGAAAGTGGAGGAATGGAATCAGCTTTGTTGTTAGTCTTATACTTCTCTCTGCAAGCAAAAGGACAGGTATTGAAAAGGGAGCATAAAAAGAGAAACGGATGAGAAACTTCAGGGAACAGGAAAAATCAAAAAAAGATTTGAAGCTATCATGCTACGGTTGCGAGTACTGCGGCGCTTGTAGGGCAGAGGATCAGCTAGCAGGAAAAGATGTTATTGAACAGGAAAATTTACAGTAATTGCCTCCTGCGCAGTCCCTCTGTTTGCCACACCGTGCTTTGTGTGTGTGTGAGAATAAGAAATGCTCCTCATTTTCATTCCTCCTCTCCGCGCTTTTTCCTGCTTTGTTCATGCTATGTTGCTTACTCATGACAGCTTTTGTTGATTACTGGCCAAAAAAGACAGTAAACAGTTTGTAGCGTAGATGCAGGAGGCAGGCAGGAATCAGCGCCTTCTGAGTGGTATTCATCTGATTTTGCGCATGTAGCGAATTCAGCAATGCTCGATATGGAAATGTTTGTATTAAAAGGTACGAACGGCTATTTATAGGATTATTTACAGGCGGAGACTGTTGTGAAAGCTGTAAAAGGAACAAAAGTAGTAGAGCGGCGGGCAACACGATCAGTTATCAAGGCGAGCGCTGCTGTGGTACGTTGCTTGATGCGTTTTTGATAGACTGAAGTTGCGAATACATTATCCAAGCGTGCCCAGACAAATCAATCATGTGGAATTTCGGACGTAGGGGGAGGCAACTGTACACTTTACATGGCGCCACAAATATAGTGCTTGTGTCATTGGTTGTGGTAGCCAGAGCTGAGAGTTGATTCTCAGGGGATGCTTGCTTCTTCCTGACAGTGGCTGTTGCAGGTTGAAAAGCACAAGACAAAAAGAAGAAAAAAGCAGAAGGGAACTGCTCCCGTCGATGACGCTGAAGAGGATGTCCTGGAAGATCTGGTCCTTTCTGATCCAGAAAATTAATTCCATGCTTAATTTCGTGCCTTTTCTTTAATATGTTGTTGCCGTTGTTGCTTAATAAAATCATTGCTCTTGTAGAACCAGTGCCTGACCGCATTGAATTGTAGTGCAA